TGCCTTCATTACTTTTAACATCAGACCCAATGCCTGTCTTGCGCTCGATCGGGAAGTACACGTGACACCCAACAACATCCTCGCGGCGTCCAAGCAAGAACCCCATCCTGAAATTCATAGCAAGCTTCGTCTGTCTACCCTTTGGGTTGTGACACTAGGCCAGCAGCTCAAATGTCCTGATGTGATGGATATCTAGCTTCGAGCCATACATTAGCTCGTACGAGGTGCGTCCTGTACCATTGCAGAAGACGCGGTTCTTGGTATACACAGCAGTTACCAGCGCGTGCACCCCGAACGACTTCAGTAGCCCTGACTTGTGCATCATGGGCTTCACTATTCCAATTAGCGTCTGGTGAGTTCGTTCAACCATGTTCAATTGCGAAGTCTTCGGTCTAACTTTGTTGTGAACAATTCCTTTCTCTTTGTACCAGCGCTCTATCGTCTTATTGCAAAACTCCGTTCCTTTATCTGTCGACACTTTACCGGTGTCTTCGATATCCCACTGGCGAAGACGACTGTTGCAACACATTTACCATGCTGCCGCTCTGCCCATGCAATGTACTGTTGCATGGTCTGGTTCACAACACGCTCATTCTTTGACTTCAACATGTAGATGTTGACGAAGCGAGAAAATACACCCTTCACAACCAGTACCGATGTGAATTGAGATCCGTTGTGCACTCCAGGAAATAACAAGTCTGCAAACACTACGTCATTGCCTGCTGAATCGGACGGTCCAATGACTTCCTGAACGACTTTCGGCGTTGTTTGCCTACGTGGTAATCTGTACAGTCAATATCTCCTCGGCCCTTGAGCATAATACTTGTCGACATACCGTAATCAACTATAAGTCGAATGTACTCTGGACAGGTGGGGCCCAAATGCTCGTGCCACACGTCGATATCCTCGACACCATCCGTAGCTGGAAATTTGGGAATACATTCTTTTTCACTGCTACGTTCTGCTTCTTATTTGCACCAATGTTGATGTTGTGCAAGTTAAAGGTCCACAAAAGACTTTCGTACGCCGTTTGAATCATTTCAGCTTCTTCCTTTGTCATACCAAATATTTTAGAGTCTAAGTCCCACGTCATCGTGAAACCTTGATCTAGCGCTAGTCCTGGACCAAACAAATTGCATCCCGGACTTGGCACATCAAGCACGGCTTCGACGGATCCAAAAGTCATTTGCTCGTCAATCATCGCTGTAAGCATGATGGTCCGGATTTCCTCCGCTTGGACATCAATTCCATCATCAAATCCAGTGACCTGCACTTTCCAATCACTGCCTTCATAGCTTACAGCACCGTAACATATTCCTTACACCCAGCGTCAAAATACCATCGACCTGGATCATTGTCCTTCGAGACTCTGTTAACAACCTCACCCATAACAACATCCGTTTCTTGTGTGAGTCTGTCGCTACTGGACCCTATTTCTGCGCTTCCTGCTCTGTGTTAGTTTTTGCCAGAGCACGCGTACTTAACTTGCGGGTTCTTCTTGGCCCTCGGCTTTCCCTCCCCAACTGAATCAGGACAATCACTCTTGAAGTGGCTGCCATCGCACTTGAAACACTTGATGTTAGTCCTGACAGTCTTTGGCGTCAAGTCTTTATTTGGCTTTGACTTTTGGTCGCTTTTGTTGTCACTATTTGAGCAAAACCACATCTTCCTGCGTAGTTCATTATATCGTGGTGTTCCTGACAAGCTGTGCAGCATCTTGTCTGCCATCTGCAAGTCATCAACCGGACGCCCAGGTCTGAAAGTCGATCCTTGATATCAAACAGTTTGTATAGGTGGCTGCGAATGTCCTCCTTCAGATGCGTTCTATGGAGTTCACACTACAGCCGGAATACTTTTTGCGCCTTCTGCGCTGGGTTCTCTTGTCCTCGTAGATCGTGATAAGCTGCTACCACATCTCGGTGCCTGTCTTCTTGGACATCACCTGCTTTGCGAGTCTCTTGGTGAGCGAGTCTTGGATCAAGGTCTAGCTCTTGGCTTGTTTCTTTCTGAACTTACACTTCTTTTCTTCAGGTAACGCGGGATCTTCCTTCTCCGTGCCATCGGCGATGCTGTCGAGAAAGCTCTCTTCGAGCGCATTCACCATAGCATGCTTGTAGAACGTCATGTCTTCGCCATCTCAGCGAAGTGGAGTTCAGTAAGAGCTGATCATGGAGCCCTTGTGTTTGTACCTGCTGCCATCGTCTGACTCCGAAGAGAAAGACATCTTGCTGGTCGTTGTGTTCGTCCGCTTGCGCAGTTGGAGATGTTACTTGGGTTCATAACCCTAACGGAATGCGTGCACAAGGCGAGCATCTGACGCAAAACACCAACTTGTTGTTAACTGGGGAAATCTGAGACTGAAGACTGCCTTATCAGTTCTTCACTTTGTGCGTATTCAAATATGCTGAATACAAATGGGGTACTACCACACATTCGCAACCTCATTGTTCTGGTGCTGGCAAACTTCCCAGACCTCTTGTATCAATCGAATAGTCACAAACAACTTAGGATCGAAGCAAATCCAGCGAACCATCCAATCACTGTCCGAATCAGTGATATGGCCGATATCAGCGTCGTAGTCGTCACATTACGTGCGACGGAGATAGGTCAGACGACTTCGTGCGAGGTTTCATCTGAACAAGAGCTGTTAAGTGCCTTGGCACGCTATGCCGGTGATGAGGTACAAATACTTGGCGGCCATCCACATCCCAAGTTAAGCCGAATGGTACACTTGTGGGCAGGTTGTCGACGGTGGAGACAAACTAGACAAGGATACAAGCATGGTGCCATATCGACACAACGACGACGGGGTTTACGTGATGTTAGCAGGCGCAAGGAAGACTGGATTACGGAAAACGTTGTCATCGATCAGGCACTGAGCACGCTCAAGTGGACACATATTAGAAAAATGGTTGAAATATCACCATGGAGAGAACAACTACTCTTCCGACTCAAACACCGCGCACTCACACGATGGGATTCTATAGCTCAGCACCCTGGATGTGTCATCTAGGAATGTGGATCACACAACACAAGTATCACCCAGAATGCACAGGGGCTCAAACATTGTGGCACGTGTTCTTCAGCCCTTGGAAAGCATAGGGAATGTCGCAGTCAGACATAAACCAAGATGAACTGTTTGGCTTTACAATCCATAACGTGCCTGAGGGTATATGACATACATTTGATTGCTTATACAGAACAAGTACCGCAGACGACAATAAAGCTATACAACGCTGTGACACGAACTGATTTGGAATTTCTCATGGAAGGAAGGATTTGTATGGATACAGGAATTAGGTAATGGATACAGGATTGCCAAGTGTGAATGTGGGCAAGAAAAGTGACTGTGGAATGTGTGAGAAGTGATTGACTTGGAGAAGAGCTAAGGATGGGACTTAGAGTCAGGAAGCACTACGATGCTCAGTCCAGACTCGCCCTCGTCCTGACTACGGACACTTCTGATTGTGAGAAGTGTTGGCGCAAACGTATTGCGCCAGACACCCCGTATTGCCTTAGTTCAAACCAGAAAACATCATTCCCAATCTCGAGAACATTACCAACAAGGACTATTTACGCACAGGACTCACGATCCAAGAAGAGATGGACAACCGATGGAGTGATGATATGTTCTACAAGCAGTGTGGAACGTTATATTCCAGAGTCCAATCAAATATCCCAGAATTCCGCATACACACGTAGATGTTCTGGATTCTAGACACTTTGGCGTCTGGATTCAGGGATTTCCTTTGGGATTCAGGGGTTATCAGTCGGGATTCGGAAATTAATCACAGACATTACGCTATGGATTCAAAGATTCTACGATGAAACAAGACAAGATCCAGAGATTCAAGTATATTCCGATGGATTACATATCACGATATGTTATGGAATCCTTTCTGAAGTCAGAGACCTGATTCAAAGTGTAACGCGATCAAGTGGTGACAAGTCAGTGCGAAGTGAGGTGATGTACCTCATTTCCGATGATGTTACGCGAATGCATAATGGACCCAAGTGTGTTTGAAGTTCAACCATGATGAGCGTATTTAGGTATACTGAAACCAAGATATTTACCCCGGATCCAAAACGATCA